AATGTGGAATCATTTTAAATATTTCGAATTATATTTGAACACTTGCTGTCACCATTATTTTGTGCTATTTTTAATTCTTATTAATACTTTTCTTTAAGAAAATAAAGGAAGCAACTGCCCAACGTTAAATTATCAATAAGACCCCTTATAATTTTGTTCTTAAATATTATTGGTTCCACAACCGTTTTTCTCTAGTAGTCGCTTTTGAATTATTTTTACAAGATTCACATCCGATGATAATTTCTAAATCGAAGATATAAAAATGAATATATCCAGAATGTATTAAATCTTTATATAGCAACGAATAATCTTCGTTGTCCGTCACTAAACGGTTATCCAAACGTTCCGTCCACCAGTCGCAGTCAAATAAAACGTTATTTGAGTCACGTCGGTCTTCTGAAAGGAGAAGCTGGTTATTTGGAGGGATAATGCATACAGAAGATTCTTAGAAAATTCCTGCGAAAAAGTTGATCTTTACTTTTAACCTACTGAGTAATGAACAGCTTATTCAATTCCTTTTGAAAAAAGAAGGCTATTGCTATAATTCTGGCCGTTCCTTATATAGAATATTGCAGGAAATTCTCGAAAAGACATATTTTTTTGATAGTTCCAATGCACGTAATGGTGAAAACATTGTTAAATTACTACTCTTTCCGACATTTACATTGAACCGTACGACTTGACCAGTTTGGAAGGCTTACTGAATAAAACTTAACTTAATATCGCAAGAAACAAAAAATTATACAGTTAGTTAATCAAAACTTTTTTTGTCACTCTGTACTGAAATGAAAGAACCGGTAACAGACAAGATAAAAAGTTTAAAATTAATTTTTGTAATGAATTTGCAAACTTAAATAAAACCTTTAAACGTGAATATAGCCGCTGGACGTATCACGTAAGCTTAGTTCATAATATTTAATATTTAGTGTCAGAAAGTCGCCAAAGATCTGAAGAGGCTGCAAACAAAAAATAAACTTACTAATTTAAAGGTTTGAAATTTAACAAAAACTGCATAAACTTTACAACTGAATTTGAAATCTACAAGAATTGCATTTCCTTTCATCCTGTTATGAAGCTAAATTCTATAGCCTTAATGCAAAGATCATTATACACTAATTATTAGAATAATTTCATAGAACGGAATGAAATTTTTCATTTCGTAGTCAATTTTGAAAAGGTTGTCGCTTTTTTACAATATTTGACCAAAAACTTAATATTTCAAATTGTAACCACGTTCGTAACTTACAGTCACATAAACTACACGGGGCTTTTGAAATTCAGTTCAATGAATGAAATAAGTAATCAATTAAACAGAAATGGCTATAAACGTTCCCAAGGTACACTCCAGAAAGCTCCAACCAACGGCTTTGCGCGAACGGACGAGAAGGGTGGAGATGTGTTTTTCATTTATTGTCGATTTTGCATGGTTGCCATTTTGCATAAGTCGCACTCATTCCCGTATGCCTAGGAGAGAAAATACTGCAATAAAATGTATCATTACAGATCACTACTTCCAAAATATTTTATGGAAAGTCTTGAACACTTGATAATTCCTTGATTTAGCTTACCAACCGTCCATTTCCAGCTCAATACTTACGATACGACGTTATATATATATTACTCCACCAATTTTTCAAAAAAATTCAAATCCAAAAAAACACGTATTTACGATCACGTACGACAGCAACTATTCAACTACGACACACAAATTAAATATTTTATTAACTTAACTTAACCAATACATTATAAAATGAGGAGTGATCATTTGGAAGCAGTTTTCCGCCATGGCAAAGGATGGCTCACAGGGGGGCTCTAGCGTTGCGCTTTCGGCATGCCGATGTTTCTCCAGGCAGTCTTATCAGGGCGCTACCTTTCGTCCTGCGGGAGGAAAAATGCCTGGCATCGCGTTGAATGTTCTGCGGGCAGGATAGAGCAGACAGTGTCAGCAGTCAGTTCATCAGTTCAGTTCAGTTTCAGTTCAGTTCAGTTCATTCCATTCAATCCAATTCTATTCTATTCTATCATGATGCCAAATTGTTCGTGGCGAATCCCGTTTTATTCCCCTCCAAATGCATGAACCACACCAGTTCTGTCTCCGTGTCGAGACGCGGTTGAGGCTACACGGCACCAGATGCTAGGTCAATTGTTACAGTTCTTACATTTCATTTGCTGGTAATTTACATTTTTTTTTATTTTAATCATCCAAGAGCACTTTTTCAGATGCATCTGCTTCCGCTAGACCACTAAGCACAGGACAAATTGTTGGGGCTACACAGGCACCAGATGCCATGTCAATTGTTACAGCTTTTACATTTCATTTCCTGGTAATTTACATTTTTTTTTTAAATTGTAAACATTCTGTAAATTTGATCTTGATGAAGTGTCGTAAGGTTGGTGCAATTCTTGTCTGTACTTATTACTTAATAAGTACTTAATAATTATAAAACCTTGAGGTATCTTTTTTTAGAAAAAACTAGAAGAAGCTCGCTACTGGTCAACGTTTCAATTTTTTTTTAAATCGATTGTCTGACCCCTTACCTAACCTGACCTCTTACACGTACACACAATACACGACCACACACGTCCAGTGTTTAAATCTTTTCACGGCTGGGGCAGTGCCCCACTGATGGGAGATACCTGGCAGTAGCAAACCCCGCCAGCCGGCGTATAGGTCAGCGTCGATTCTCATCATTCACCTTGGTTTGCCCCCTCCACGTGATCAAACATTGTAATGATTCATACACTTACGGGAGTAATGACGTTGGCAGTTCATGCGCCTAAACAGGAAGTAATCAAGTCAAACAGCAGTGCAGAATGTGTTGCCTCAGGGGCTCACCCAGGGTCACGATCAGGCGTTCGATGTTTAATACTGAATGATTAATTTCGTTACGTGAGGTTTTCTTCCATGTGTTCATTGCCTAAATGTGATCATCTTTTGTCCATCTACGTGCTCTAGAAATGTGTTTAATTTATTCAGAAATATCCTATATACTAACACAAACAATAGCTTAAACGTAAGCTTCCACGATTCGCCTCCATGTCTTCTTGGCTGTCCGGGTGATGCCGCGTCGTTGGCTGAGAGGCCGACGTTTCGCCTGTCATTTCGCAGCCTTCCTCAGAGCAAGGAGTCCTTATGACGCGGCGTCTCTCGAGTGGCGACGACAGAAGAATAATAATACTGACATCCAGAAGAAAGTATCGGAAAGCATTCAAACTTTGAAGGCAAGTTCCACAGCGTCGAACATACCAAGCATTAATATTTCAGGTTCATAATTTATAGTTATTGGATAATTTTAGTTCTAAAAAAGTTATATTATACAAAACTGTTTCCAGAATGATACTCTTGTCATCTTTTGTTTCTGCTCGAAATAAATGTGGAATCATTTTTAAATATTTCGAATATATATTTGAAACTTGCTGTCACCATTAATTTTGTGCTATTTTCTAATTCTTATTAATATTTTCTTTAAGAAAATAAAGAACAACTGCCAAACGTAAATTATCAATAAGACCCCCTATAAATTTTGTTCTTAAATATGTATTGGTTCACACCGTTTTCTCTAGATAGTCGCTTTTGAATTATTTTACAAGATTCACATCGATGATAATTTCTAAATCGAAGATATAAAAATGAATATTATCCAGATGTATTAATCTTTATATAGCAATCGAATAATCTTCGTTTGTCCGTCACTAACGGTTATGCAACGTTCCGTCCACCAGTCGCGTCAAATAAAACGTCATTTGAGTCACGTCGGTCTTCTGAAGGAGAACTGGTTATTTGGAGGGAATAATGCATACAGAAGATTCTTAGAAATTCCTCGAAAAAAGTGATCTTTACTTTTAACCTACTGAGTAATGAACAGCTTATTCAATTCCTTTTGAAAAAAGAAGGCTATTGCTATAATTCTTGGCCGATTCCTTATATAGAATATTCAGGAATAATTCTCGAAAAGACATATTTTTGATAGTTTCAATGCACGTATGGTGAAACATTGTTAATTACTACTCTTTCCGACATTTACATGAACCGTTACGACTTGACCAGTTTGAAGCTTACTAATAAAACTTAACTTAATATCGCAAGAAACAAAAAATTATACAAGTTAGTTAATCAAAACTTTTTTTGTCACTCTGTATGAATGAAAACGGTAACAGACAGATAAAAAGTTTAAAATTAATTTTTGTAATGAATTTGCAAACCTTAAATAAAACCTTTAAACGTGAATATAGCCGCTGGACGTATCACGGTAAGCTAGTTCATAATATTTATATTTAGCTGTCAGAAAGTCCCAAAGATCTGAAGAAGGCTGCAACAAAAAATAACTTACTAATTTAAATGGTGAAATTTAACAAAAACTGCATAAACTTTACAACTGAATTTGAAATCTACAAGACATTGCATTTCCTTTCATCTGTTATGAGCTAAATTCTATAGCTTAATGCAAAGAATAATTATACACTAATTATTTAGAATAATTTCAAGAACGGAATGAATTTTCATTCGTAGTCAATTTGAAAAGGTTGTCGCTTTTTACAATATTTGACCAAAAACTTAATATTTCAAATTGTACCACGTTCACGTAACTTACAGTTCACATCACTCACGGGGCTTTTGAATTCAGTTCAATGAATGAAATAAGTGAATCAATTAAACAGCAAATGGCTATAAACGTTCCAGGTACACTCCCAGAAAGCTCCAACCAACGCTTTGCGCGAACGGACGAGAAGGGTGGAGATGGTTTTTCATTTATTGTCGATTTTGCATGGTTGCCATTTTGCATAAGTCGCACTCATTCCCGTATGCCAGGAGAAAAATACTGCAATAAAATGTAATCATTACAGATCACTACTTCCAAAATTTTATGGAAGTCCTTGACACTTGATAATTCCTTGATTTGACTACCAACAGTACCATTTCACTCAAATACTTACGATACGACGTAATATATATATTACCTCCACAATTTTTCAAAAAAATTCAAATCCAAAAAACACGTATTTACGATCACGACGACAGCAACTATTCACATACGACACACAAATTAAATATTTTATTAAATTAACTTAACAATACATATAAAATGAGGATGATCATTTGAACAGTTTTCCGTCCATGGCAAAGGAGGCGTCACAGGGGGCGTCTAGCGTTGCGCTTTCGGATGCCGATGTTCTCCAGCAGGTCCTTCATCAGCGCTACCTTTTCGTCCTGCGGGAGGAAACTGCTGCGCATCGCGTTGATGTTCTGCGGGCAGGATAGGACGGCAAGACAGTTCAGTTCAGTTCAGTTCAGTTCAGTTCAGTTCCAGTTCAATCCAATTCTATTCTATTCTATTCAATGATGCCAAATTGTTCGTGGCGATGCCGTTTTTTCCCCTCCAAATGCATGCAAATTTTCTCCTTTCGACTGAACAAAAGTATGATTAGGAAAACGAATTAGGCTTCGAATTTTGCGCAGTCACTTCCATCAGGCTTAATCTTTTGCAAGCAGTAAATCTACAACATGGACAACCGTATTTACTTCGCCACCAAAGAAAATCGTACACGAAGGATTTTTTTGCCCTTACAATCCACAGCTTCAATGAGATTTGAACTTTCGAATTTCTGTGCAATTTAATCAAGGAAGAACTGACGTACGAGTATGCAGAATTTTGTGAACTCGGCTTCTTCTTCATATTATTAATTACCACCTTAGTAGACGTAAATGTGCCGGTGCTACCAGATATTATGATCTGACTTATCGTGAAACGCATTAAAAGATGGAAGTCACTGTAGACATCATTGTCTGTAATTCGTGGTCCGATCATTTTGATGGAAATGAAAAGAAATAAAGTGTTTTAACTCATATTTTGACACACGATTTGATAAGTCTTGTGGTTTTTATTCCAAATGCATTTTTAATGGTGAAGTGTAACATTGTTCTAAAGATACTCAAACATAAACAGTCATTCCGAAATAATAATTGAAACTGATCGGATTTGTACAATATTTTTACTCTCTTCAAACGAATTTATGTATTTTTTTCATTAGTAAGTATACAGAAGGTAAATTGCAGCAAATCGCCGAAAAAATTAATGTTAAAAAATGTGAATTGAACATTGAAGAGCTTCTGAGTTAAAAGTAGACGAAGAGGCTTGACGGATATTGCAACGGTTTTGTCTTAATCCATACTTTCAACCTCTCAGCTTTAACCATTTCTTCACAAATTTTTCTAACTTCTATAAATTTTTAAATTGATGAGTTTGGCAGATAGTCTTCGGCGATTATCTACGACTGGTTGCATAGACAGATTGTGGTCAAAATGATCTTTAAATTTAATTTTAAACCTCATTTTTAAACTAAATTTATTGTTTCCTGCGAGAAAATGTTTACGAGGATATTTATCCAAATATTAGGAGAAATGAATAAAAACGCATTCAATAGATTGATTTGTTTAGGCAAAATGTTTCTCAAAAAAACGAGAATGTTATGCTGAAATTTTCTCTTCATTACTAACATAAATGTGTTCTTGATTTCGCTATCGACTCACGCCAGCATTCATCATTCCTGCTGATCATCTTTCGCCGCTTCCTGTCCTGTCTGCTCGTTCTTACAGCGAAAGGCGAAGGTAAAAGATCACCGCAGTCAGTTGTTCGAGGATAAGGTGATCAAATAAGCGGCTAACTCCTGTATTACTTAAGCGCAATAATTGAGTGCGCCAGTAACCACCGTAATATGTGTAATTAACCGTACATTGCCTCATATTGTATAATTATACATATATATATACATATATATACATATATATATACATACATATATATATACATATATATATACATATATATATATACATATATATACCCATATATATACATATATATATATACCCATATATACCCATATATACATATATACGCATATACACATATATACGCATATACACATATATACGCATATATACATATATACGCATATATACGCATATATACGCATATATACGCATATATACACATATATACGCATATACACACATATACACATACATATATACATATACACATATACACATATACACATATACACATATACACATATACATATATACATATATACATATATACATATATACATATATACATATATACATATATACACATATACATATATACACATATACACATATTAATAAAAAACTTCTCATAGTAATTGAAGGTCTATACTACGCACCGATCGCACCAAGTGCGCCTCCGTGAGGCCCCACGAGGACACCAGGTCGTACTCGTCTTGGAGGCTGACGCCAATAATTGTTGGGTGACCTGAGCTTAGGCTGAAATTCGCCCCATCCGCTGCGAACCTGAAGAATCGTTGGTGTACGACTTACAAAAGTTTCGCATTTCATGTACTACAACGCCTCATGTGTGAAATTATTGCACAAATTAAATCTTTTAGTAATGTAACTGAAGTATTACAATGATAACTGGTGAAAAACATCTACCTTTAAAACAAAACAACAACCTTTAAAACAACAACCTTTAAAACAACAACCTTTAAAACAACAACCTTTAAAACAACAACCTTTAAAACAACTACCTTTAAAACAACTACCTTTAAAACAACTACCTATTAAAACATTGATGGTTTAATTTAGGATATCGATGTTTTATTACCGATATTGCATCACTAATAACTACTGAAAGCTCCTCGCACGTACTGAGCGATGGGGTGCTTGGAGACGGAAACCTCTATCGCACGGGTCAGCAGCGATTCCCAAGGGCAGCACTCGAAGTGCACCTTGTGCTCCCGTAGCTTCTCGTAGAGGCAGGGCAATTGCAGCACGTCGTATCCGTGGCCCAAGCGCTCGGCGTGGTATTTGTCCACAGCCTTTGCACAGAAGAGTAAATATTAGGAGACGAACTGTTGGAGCAATCTGACATCAATGTAGTACTTAATAATTCTCGCGTCCGTAAAAATTCTATAACTTTCTATTCCATAACTACGAATTTTATAACTTTTTTCTGACAAATGACTGATGAACTAAGCTTGTCACCGCAAAGCTGTCAGGAGTACATAAAAAGTAGATAATTAGTCGATAATCGATATCAAATTTTTATTTAAATGACAATTTTATTAATATTATTTATTTAGTAATATTTTTTATTCGGTTGTGCAGACATGAGACTTCCAGATTGATGCAACGGATGAATTGCGATTAACTTCCAAGTGGTGTATTTTTTTTTGTTTTTTTTTTTTTTTTGTGAAGCTGAGCTCAGGGTGAAGTACAACCTTCACTGGCAAGCCCAAGTGTGTGATCATAGTTCATTCATCTTCAGCCGAAGAAAAGTTCAATTCAATGATGCCTTACTTTACGTGCTGAGGCTCAAGTCATCAGACCTGCTCTTCCACCTGACCACGCAAATTTTGCTACGCTTCTTCCGCCATCTACTAGCAAAAGAAACGACCACTCGGTTGTTAAAACAGCAGGAGAATCTATTACATACACTGTGTGATCAAAAGAATCAGGACACGTCGAAAATGGTGTTATGGTGTGGTCATATTTTTCATGGAGGGGGCTTGCATCCCTTCTTATTTTGTGTGGCATTATCATGGCACAGGCCTACGTCGATGTTTCAAACACCTTCCTGCTTTCCACTGTTGAAGAGAAATTTGGGGATGGCGATTGCATCTTTCAACATGATCGAGCACTTGTTCATACTGCACGGCCTGTGGCGGATAAACGGCAATAACATCCCTGTAATAGACTGGCCTGCACAGAGTCCTGACTTGAATTATACCGAACATCTTTGGGATGTTTTGGAACGCCAACTCCGCGCCAGATCTCATTGACCTACATTGAAGAAATGCGGAAAAAGTGGGGGTATTAGTTTCGAAATTGGCCACTAGATTTTATGAATTAATGCCAATCTCTGAAGAATCAGTCATGGCTTGGCAACGACTCCCCGGATACCCTGTATAATGAATTAGTTTACATTTGTATTGTATATTTTTTAAAGACTTAATATTCTTGTAACAAATAATGTACTTCAGCCTCTGGGTCAATGACCCCCATCTCGATCAAGTTTTGGTCCAGTTTCCCTGATCCATTGAGCAAATGCTGAGATGGCCCCCTTGTTTTGCTTCTGGACATAAATATAGCTTCACTATGCGCACGTTCTGTGGATCTCTCCTTTTGCTTGTAGTGGTAGGAGTAGAGGTAAGAGCGAATTATTAGTTTGTTAGCAATGCAGACAAATCAAATTACATTTCGTTTGCAGATAAGTTTTTCTTTAACTCGGGAACAAAAATTGTCTATTTTATCAAATGTTGCCAAACTTGCGCTATTTTAGTTTATTTTATTTCTTATTTATTTTATTTTTAACTTTTACTCATCTGTCTACTATGTATAGTTAAAATAATAGGGAGGGATACTGGAACTCAAGAAAACGCGCGAAGATGATCTTGTCCCCCATACGTCAAATACAGTTTTTTACTGTTGTTTTACTAAATAAATCAAAACATTGCGTCCGGACCAGCGTTCCAGCAAAGTTTAAAATATTTGGTTGTTATTGATAGTATGAGCCCAAATGGGAATTCGGATGACCAGGATTCCACTACCTGGCTTTGCTTATTAAAATAACCGTAGGAATGACGTACCCGTTGCACCATGTATGCAGAGCCCAAATACCCCGCGTGCACGGTTCGGTGGATGTCTTGCAAATATGCAGTGGTGAATGCCGACAGCTCCTCCATCGTCAACGGCACTTCCTCTGATAGTCACACCAGAGAGCCACGTTGACACGTGTCATGCACCATGAACGTTTCCAGAAGTCAAGTAGAGGAAATTTGCAATCACAATTTTGCAATTAACCTACTACTATTTTTGTTTCGATTACAATGTTGTTAATATATTATTTCTTTATATGTATAATGTTATGTCAAATAATGGAAAAAGTTGTAAGAAGAAAGGAAGTACAATTCACAAACTCAATTATTGTAAAATTCATATCAACTTTGTATAAATCTTTCTCTCATGAAATATAATTTTTGACAATAGAATTTTACCAATGTAATAGTAAATATTGATATTGATGAATATACAAAATGCGTGATACTAGATGGAGAATTTTAGCATATTTACATATTTTGTTCTTCGTAACAAAAGGATACACTTCACGCAAGAAAGTACGATTCTGACAAGTAAAAACTATATCAAGTTTTGTAGTACATGTTTTTGATATATTGATACACATTTCAGTAAATCGTGCATCAATCATATTGATATTATTGACCCTGACGTCTATTGCATTACTCACTTCCGTAGAAGCTAAAGGAAGTGGATTTATCGGAATCGCTAGTGATGGAAATACGAAACAATGTTGGGCACTGAACAATTGCAACGATTAAAAAAAATCGTTCAGAGCAGGCCATTGCTGACCTAATATAGAGAAACTTATATCGAGTTTCACATGTCTCAAAGATGTTTTTGTGAAATTATAACTTCATAAGTGAAATAGATTTTAAGACATAACGCTTTGTTTAATCTCTTGCAACATTGTTGTGCAGTTGGACCACGAGATTTTCGCTACTTTAAAAAACATTATTTCCTTTCCTGCTATTGCTAAAGAAATCAAAGCTGCTAATAAATATATTCTCGCATTGTTTCTAAAAATTTAATTTTCCAAAATTCATACTGATCAATGAAAATGACACCTGTTCCTTCTTTTTATCGTACTTTGTTCTCTCCGTGAAAATAATAAAATAACCTAAAAATTGAGCGGTTTTTGAGAACATGTTTTTTTTATATTTTTTTATTTTAATTTCGTAATTTGAAATGTTAACTTTTTGCCATTTCCAAAAATACAGTAAATGAGGACGGACATGAGATTTCAACAATGTTTTATCGTCCTTTGATACAAACGAGGATAAAAATTAAAAACAAATTTTAATCCACTTTTTGATAAAATAGTTTTTAAAACTTAGTAACTGCCTATAATTCACGTAAAAATTATGCGAAAACTTCTCACTTTCGAAAGTTTGTTACAGAAAGTAATTTACTACATACTACCTGTATAGGAACTAGATTTATTCACTTTTTCGTTATCAGGGCTTGGTAATAAAAGTTTCCTCTCGGAAAATTGGCGATTTCCGCCGCTACATTACAATACTATCTCTGTACTAAGATCGCAGTAAGGTGAGAAGGTAAAATGAATATGTTTCCACAAGTTAAGTACAAACATGGTTACTTTTCTGAAAATCTCAATACACTGAAAAATGGATTTATAATCCCTTCCTGACGTACTGCAGTAGATTAGTGAGGTCATAAAATTAATAAAAGGAACTACATGAAGTAATTTATTGATAATAAATCTCCATTTTATAAGCATATAAGGACATTTGGGTGCCTATTTCACAGATTCGGGGTTCTTAAATACAATAATATTTTGATGATTTTAATAAAACATAAAATCCTCTCTCTAATGAGCAATAACAACCTGAACCAGAGATGATAATAATCGTAAACTATTGAGAGATTCCGTACTGCATTATTTTATTTTATTCCGGGACGCGAATAAATAACACATGGATCGCTGATAAAACACTTACCGATTTTCGACATGAACATTTGCTTTCCACAGTACCCTTCATACGGCAGCATCAAGTCAATGCCGACGACGCCGTCGTTTTGAAACTGCTGGCACAAGCTACAGAGGGGGAGTGATGACGTCGCCAAGCGATGCCGCGTGCCCACGGATGGACGACGAGGATCGAGCTGCGCACGACAATGCCCAGCGGCCAGCTCAGGAACCGCGAGCCCGAGGAGCAACAACAGGTCACACAGCCCGACACGATATCGAGACAGCCAAAGAGACTCTGCGCACACAGCAAGAATGGTTACCATCCACGTTCAACGTTACAACTTTATAATGCAACACTTCTATATATTTTAAAATAAAAAATACAGTTATATAGACAGCAAGACAACGAGCGAGTACTACACCACCTTAGAGACAGGTATATTGAGCGCACTGTGACTCCCCACGTTAAAATAAGCGCACTGCCACAGAGGACCGCTGATATTGAGTGAGTTACAGGTCGGAGTACCAAAAACGTATCAAAAAATCCGAGGCCCAGATCGCACCCACAAGCAGCCAGTGTCGTCTTGCGCTCACGCTCTACGGCCGTACCGCATCCGGTGAGAACTTCGAAAAGGACAACCACCCCATAGGGTATGGCCCCATATAGACGCTCATGCCGAGGGTTTGGACCAGACCCGGCCTGGTAGTAGCAACAGCCTCAACCTAAGGTTTTTGTTCATAGACAAATTGCTCAAACATCAGGTTCCAACGGGGATTTACGCGAGAATCGTATCCGGGAACCTCCAGAAGAGTGAGGGACGGTTATAGCGCTTACTGTAACAACGAGAGCGTCTGGGCTTTCGCCTCCCCGTTGTATATCGAGGACCCAAAAGAGGAAAGGACGTAATATCTGTCCCTGCGAAGACCAGAGCGTAGCTCGAATTAAGATAGAAATCCTACAATGCATAATTAAGGAAACGGGAGATGCGAGAACTGCGACATACAAGATTCGCAGGAAAGCTTCGCTGATGTCGAACCCAATCCCGAGCCAACGAGCGTTGGCCCAGAGGGACTTGCACAGAAATCGTCCAGAACTGGGGGGTCCGATGGTGGGAAGGCCCCCACCCCCTAGAGTTGAAACCACCGAGCAGAATCACAGTAGGAGAGATGTGAGACCTGGCACAGCCTATAAAAGCAACTGGGGACACCGAGCTAGAGAAACAAATTATTGCTCAATGTGCTGACAAACAGACGGCGGCCAGATGGAATGATTCAAGAAAAGCTAGGAACACCCCGCCCACTCCGAGGGAAGAAAAACTAACCAATCTAACAATTTTGGTTGCCCACGCTTAGCTACGAAGGGATCTGGTTCTAACGTGTTTGGTGGAGAAAATGCTGATGGGCATCATCCGTGATGCGTGAGGAAGAATGCTACTAAGGGACTGCAATAAATTGCGTAGATAACTATATCAAAGAGATACAGGCGTGATGCGCTTGCCGAAGTAGAAGAATGAAATCCAATGATAAAATACACAAAATAAAAGTGCTGAAGAGTAAAGACGCCAAATAGTGAGCAACATTTTCCTTGTAAGAAGTACAAAAAGAACAATAGAGATCGGAAACCACAACAGCGCCACCAAGACCTCTGTTTTTCTCTAGTGCGACAAACAAATAATTCCTTTTAATTTGCGATTCAACACAGCAAGCCGTAAGGAATGTCAATCACGAAAGACCCGGTTAAAACCCCATTATATAAGAAACTAAAAGCGTATGCAACGAGCTTATCAGAATGCACAATAATCTAAATCTGCTGGTGATGGGAACAAGGTATTTTAAATAACCTAGTCTCCCCAAGAGAATAAACACCCTTACAGGAAATTTTAGGCGGAATAGGTATTTCTCTCTTCAAATAGATAAGTAAAAAAGGAAACATGGTAGTAGACATGAAACAATACCTGATCCAGAAAGACACAGCAATGGATAAGCGCTAGCAGAAGCGACCAATGAAGGCCTAAAATATAGAGATTGCATGAAGAAAAAAAGAAATAAAAATTCTATTACCGTGGAAATGATATGATACTGGGACCGCGACATTCAACATGAAACATGTGACACCCACTCCAAAAAAACGTGTTGACGTGAACATATACTAAAGTGAGCGAGTGGGGAGTAGGACCGCGGTAAAACACGTGATCTAGTCGCGGCCTGTAGAAACACCTGCGGATTGTTGGCCTCACCCACCAAAATTCCGACATGCAGCCCACAATGCAGCTGGCTGTGTTCAACAACCCAACGGGTCCGATTGTTAGAACTCAACAGGCGTTCGCCTCTTCTCTTGAGGTAGTTTTACAATAAAAACACGAAACCAGTTACGCCCCAACACGAAAGAAAAGTCAATCATAACGTGCCGGAGTGGGTGTGTGAATTCAAGGGTCTACCACCATTCAGATGCGCCCATATTGATCATGATACACCATGTTACCCACTTCCGGCAAGCATACCTGCTGTGGTATATCCATAATATAACCCTACATAGAAACGCAAACTTGATTA